AACATCCTCTGAATAGTGAGGTTGTTCAAAATACTGGTAGGTGACTACATTGGTTTTCAATATACATTGACTAGCACTTTCTTAAATAAACACAGGGTAGCGCTTGTACCTAAACTGTACCATGTACTTAGGGTTCAATTTCAGACTACAATTTAAAATGCGAAATTAATGTAAGCAGCAAAAAGAATTCTGACTATTCAGAATAAGTCAGCTAAGAGCAGGCAGTGTGGATAAAAAAATAATGCTAACTTCCTTCACCTGTTTCAACTTACAAAAAACTCTTATCTCTAAATGTTTAAATAAAGTTTGAATGTCACTGAATTGAATGTGCTCATTTAGAATTTTAAGTCTTTTTAACCATATATAGAATTTTTAATAACCTAATATGAGCATCCTCTGGTCTTTAATATAAGTCACCATCTTAAGTGGAAGTTTAGGTAGCAGATAACATATTCGTTAAAATACCTCTTTTTACTCAAAAGGTGAAAATAGTAAATGTTAGTAAATTAAGCATTATTTCTCATTTTTTCCAGATTATAAAAGTGATACCTGCTCATTTTAGAGAATTTGGGGAATACAGAAAAATATAAAGAAGGGAATAAAGTCACTGGTAATCCCAGCAGCCAGTGAATCACAATTTGATACATTTTCTTTTAGTCATTTCTTTGTGCACTTGTTTCTTTCTTTCATTTTTTTTTTTTTAAGCAAAATCAAGAACATATGTTCATTAGTTCGCATACTGCTTTTTTCACTTAATATCTCATGAGCATTTCTCCACATTTAATATTTTTTGAGAATACTTATCTCTAAATGTTTAAATAAAGTTTGAATGTCACTGAATTGAATGTGCTCATTTAGAATTTTAAGTCTTTTTAACCATATATAGAATTTTTAATAACTTAATAATTTAATGGTGTAAAAATATAGGTTGTCCCCGCAAAAATGTACTCACACTTTAACAGCTGATAACTTACTTTTCACTCCTTTTCAGGTTTAACTGATTTGAAATAATGGGGGAAGCCAAACTAAGTTTTGAACAAACAAAATTTATCCTAGACTTTCTTAATGGGGAAACATAAAAGATAAACTTATGGTGCAAAACCTGCAACAGTCTACGAATTGAGGACGTGCAAATACTGAATGAAATCATTCTTGGTGTTTGTGATTCCATTGCTCCAAGGTATCAGTGGTGCCTGGATGAGGAAGGTAGGTCATCAGTTTGAAAACTGGCATTGACAAAAATTATTCATTTCTGCAGATTGTTTCAAATTTTGAAAATGAACTGTATGTTAATAAACACTGACTTTATAATCATTCAAAGTGCATATACATTTTTGGGGACACTAGAAAATTTTCTATCACATATGGGTGTTATAATAGTTAATTTATGTCCCCATTTTTAGATATTTAAGCTGTTTCTAATTTTTTCTATTATGAATAATGATGGGAGCAACAAATTGGACATAATTTTAAAACTAAAATCTGATTATTTTCTAGGAAACAATTCCCAGAACATAACAATAATACCAGATAAAAGGATCTGAAAATTTTAAAGTCTGTAATGACTCTTGAAACCTATTGCAAAATTGGTTTATCGATAGTTTGGATGTCTATAAAAGTGCCTATTTCATTACTACAGCAGTCCTAGATACTAGCATTTTAAAAATCTTCTATAACCTTTTCTAAGATTGATAACTCAAATTGATGCATTTAAAAATCTTCTACAATCTTTGCTAATATTGATAGGACTCAAATTGATGCATTTTCAGTAAAAATTATTTTAACCAATTCCCACTTCACTACTTATTGGATGAACCTGACTCATCATTTCCTCAGTAAAGAAGCGATGCCTGCAGGCTGAATAATTATCACTAGCTGGCTACTCTCTAGGACACCCATGCACTTCTGCTTCCCCAGGGTTATGTGCTTACAAGTCAGTTGTCTCTGTTACTAACACGTTCAAGCCAGTTATCCTCATAATTATAAATATGTAATATAATGAAATAATGAGTTTATGTAAAAGGAAAGTAGAACATTTTAAAGGACTGCAAATAGCTAAAATAAATTGCAGCTGAATTACGGAACAAAAATATGTATATAAGAAGGAACACATCAAACTGAATTCTGCACTCGATTTTGTAAATGCTTTAAGTTCACACTCTAGAGAAATGAGAATTGGATATCTTAGACCAGTGGTTCTCAATAGGGCAGTACTGACCCCTAGGGGTTGTTTTGGAAACTTGTGCGGCATTTTTGGTTGGGTTTCAATACTGATATTTAGTGGACGAGAGGCAAGGATATGAGATTTCCTGTAACGACCTGCGCAACTTTGTAAAGTCTCCATGAGTATTCATTTAGGTAAAAAGCCGCTTTCCCCCTCGAGGAGGACCATAACTCCCCACACCTTAAGTGTGGGCTTCACATACCATTTCCTCCCTAAGATCACAGTAGAAAACGGGGTGGGTGGAGGGTAACTTTAGGGTGGAGAGACCTGACAGCACTGCAGCCAGGTGGTCAGGGTTAACAGTATCAGTGACACATCATGATGATAATATGTGCATTCGACGTGATGAGAAGGGCACTTGACTGCTCTGGTCTTCCTCCTGAAAACCCATAACCCCAGTTTCATCATGAGAAAAAATTCAGAAAACCCCAACTGAGAAACACTCCACAAAGTATTTGACTGGTACTCCTCAAAACTGTTAGTTACCAAAAACAAGGAAAGTCTGAAAAACTATCACATTCTAAAGGAACCTGAGAAGACATGAAGACTAATGTAATGTAGGATCCTGTAACAGAAAAAGTAGGTAAAACTAAGAAAATCTGAATAAAGTATAGACTTTAGTTAATAATAATGTATCAATACAGGTTCATTAGTGGTGACATATGTACCATTCTAATCTTTTAAAATAAGGTAAACTGGGTATGGGGTATATGGGAACACCTCTGTGCTATTTTTACATTTCTATAATTCTAAAACTATTCTACATATTTTTTTAAAATTGTAAAATACAAATTTGGAACTAGTAGATAAATAAGTCCTGGAGACCTAATGCACAGCAGTGTTTAGTCAACACTGGGTTATAAACTTCAAACCTGCTAGGAGACTAGCTCTTCACTGTCCCACCACAAAAAAGAAATGATTATGTGACACGATAGAGGTGTTAGCTTATGCTGTGGTGATCATCATTTTCCAGTATATAAGTATCAAATCAACACACTGTATACCTTAAACTTACACGATATTGTATGTCAATTATATTACAATTTTTTAAAATTGCAAAGCCTGCTTTTATTATCTGAGCCTGTAACTTCTATTTTACTTATTCGTACATATAAAACATTACTATTCACCAGGGACAAATCTATCCTATAAGCAGGTGTATTATTCTTTTATTCAAAATTTTAGCCAGAATTGATCACCATTTTACAAAATGACAACACCTGTTATCAGTATTCATTTAAAGCTGTAACATTATAGCTCTTCATGAATCATGAATTCAGTCTTTAAGACATCAAATAGTGTAAACAGTACTCTATTGACCAATTTCACCTTTACCATACTTAGGAGTAAGCACCTGACTATGTCACTGTTTTCTAGTGTAGTAGTATCTGAGCATTTACATATTGAAACGTCTTATTAGAAATTGATTTCATTTCTCCTTTATATGACAATAAAGGCATTGGATTGACCCTTTTTGAAACCGTGTGTATAGGGAAGTTGCGCATATTTCACTTTTAGGACAGTGATAGATGTTACAATGTTCTGATGTCATGATAAAAAGGGTCTGCTAAGTCTGAGAACCACAATCCTGGACGGAGCTCGGAGGGCGGGGGTGCTTTATTTCTTACAGCACCCTGCACCAGCCAGGTCCTCGAGATTTCGTCTCAGCCTTGCAGCTTCTTGTTCTGCCCACTCAGCCGCCCTTACTTGCACCTCCCTTCTGGCCGCCGCAGTTTTGACCTGGTGTCTGCCTTCACGCAGGCAACTTGGGTAAATATAATTCATTTAAGTCGGTGGTCTCATCCCCTTTGCCAGTGATTAGAGACGGGCAAGTGGCCCGTTTCTGATGAGACATGAGGGATTCTGCTGAGGATCAAAAGGCTCCTTTCACTGGACACTGTTGGTTTATACATGACTCCTGGCATGGTTGGCATCTTTGATCACGAGCATTATTAGCCCCAGAAGGAACTGCTGAAAGGCTGGGGAAGATGGAAGGAAACCGAGGTTCTTGGTATCCTGAACCCTCTACCGCCCACTCCAGAACCCTGAAGTGCTTGTTCCACTTGGTAAAGCTGGGTCTCACGGCCAGCAGCAAGCCTCCTAACAAGCAACCCTCTTCCCTAGCAGCTTGCTCCGCAAGTACTTACGTGCACTGTGCGCAGCCCCGGTTAGAGCGCTGCGCAGGGAGCCGGGCGCCTCTCAGCCAGCAGCTCCTAACCCACACCGCCTGTGGAAACTTCCTGGGGTCACCCTTTCGTATCGCCACTTCTTGGGTAAGCTAATTTGGAAGTAAGTGAATTGTCCTAATTCCTAGCAAAGCTTGAAAATACAATAGGCCTTTTTTCAGTGCATGTAAGGATGAATTTAAGGAACAAGCAAGGGCTATCTTTTGACAGGTCTTACTTCGCAAGTAGAGAAGGCTTCTGCTGTGGAAATAAGGTTTAAATGACTGAATTTATGAATCTCATGACCCTCCCATTTGACAATTCTATACCCCGTGTGTGAAACTGGTCTTCATTGGTTCCCACAACTCACCTTTGACACATGGCCGTTCTCGGACCTCTTCCTCCCCCAGCCCTTTATTCCTTACTTTCCTCTTCCCACCTTTCCCACACCTCCCATCCACAGACACGATCTGCTTTGCAGGACATACAGACTCGCACCTATGCCCAGTTCCGAATGAGCCTGCAAGCCCCCGAACCCTTGCGATACTCCCCGAGGCAGCCTTTCTCCTTTTAAGAAAGAGCATGCTGGACAGTTTACAAATTAAACACAGTCTCATTTAAATATTTATTTTATTTCAGTCTGTAAGTATTGCTACTTAAGTTGCTCACATAAATCCATTCCATCCAAAAAGGAAATGTCAAGTGCTTCTTGCAGCGGGAGCACGGCTGGCATGGCCCACCCGACCCAAAGACCCTCCACTGCAGTCTACAGAGAACCACCAACCCGATGCTCTTCCTCTCTGGGCCTTGGGAGATTTTCAGAATCAGTTTGGTTTAAAGCCATCAAATGTCAATCACGGCAGGGAAGACCACTGAGCTGATTTCTGGGTTCACTGGTCATAATCCATCCTAAATGACTGCCGCCTCTGGAAGACCTGGGGTAGGGGCTCTTCCCAAGTAGCAAGCACCGGGCACACAGAGCCCCAGGCCAAGGGCGGAGAGGCCAGTGCCACCTCGCTGAAGGCTTTAGGACCGAGCCGGGCGGGTGGGCGCTGGGAGGCACGATTTATGAGTTTCGACCTAAATGCTGCAAATGACGACGGGACCGTGAGTTCCTGAGCCCTTGTATTGCCTTCCGCTCGTTAGTTATTTTATAGTCCAGCCTGTTTTCCTGCACAGGAAGGCGGGGGGTTAAACATGAGGCATGTGACAGCCTGATCCCGTGTCTGCACCCCTGGCCCAAAATAAAGAGGTTAGTCCTTAAACTTTGAAAGCATTTTATACACAAGAAGGAATTAGCTTTTCCGTCCGCATCCTCCTCGGCATGATTCTGAACCGCTCCCGACAGAGCCCTCTCTTTTGTAAAATAAACACTTTATACTATGTGAAGTGCACATAAAGCTTCATTTTTGTTCAGTGTTCTTTACTCTCCACTGTGAAACGTTATTTCTGAGGAACTGAAACCCCAGAAGGTAACCACAACAAAAACACTTTAAATGTTTTTTTCTTTTTTTTTTTAAAATGATGATTCAAAGGCAGACTTGTAGAGAAGCCATAGCTGGGAGGGGGAAGGCAAATGCAGCCTCTGAAGGGAACTGTCCTAATTATTACCTAAATAACGAATGTTATACAACCACACTCAAGGACACAAGACAAAGCTCTACTTCAAAACTAGTGACTGAACAGGTAGGGGAAAAACAGCTGAAACCGGAAGGGAAATGGACTTAAGAAAAATGTGAATGGGGACAGTGAACCATCAGGCCACCAGTCCTCCAGGCCTCTGTTATCTGAAAATCTCCAATCTCACTGGTTCCCTTTTTTACCCCCCACAGTGTCTTCACTGAAATCTCAAAGTAGCGTTCTCACAGAACTAAATAATAGTTATCATTTTGTTAGGATTCAAAATTTCAATCCAGTAGCCATCAGGATCTTGAATAAATGCCAGGCCTTTCATTTTACCTGTAAAATGAAATGATGTTCATTATTAGAAAGACTTAAAAAAAAAAACCTAAAAAAATTTAAATATATTTTTATTCAAATTTTAATTTGCATTTCAATAAAGCATATCATTTTGTTTACAGTATTAATTTTTAAAAATCCCGTTGTCAGTGTTGCCCAAATGCATGTTTTTCACAATGACTAATATTCTATCTTCTACACATAGCTGGAAACCAACTCTAAAAACTGTGGGACAGGCTACATCTTTTAGGTATCAGGTGATTCCTTCATTTTCACAATATCACTTCATGCTACCAGCTGAGTAGTTACAGAAATTGTCTTATTTTTATTTATTTATTTATTTATTTATTTATTTATTTATTTAAATAAATAAATAAAAATAAGGGGATTTTTTTCCCACTGATTTTCAGAGAGAGTGGAGGGGAGGGAGGGGGAGAGGGAGAGAGAGAGAGAAACACTGATGTGAGAGACACATCAATTAGTTGCCTCCTGGACACACCCTGACGGGGCCGGGGATCAAACCTGCAACCCAGTTACATGCCCTTGACTGGGAATCGAACCCAAGACCCTTCAATGCAAGGGCCAATGCTCTAACCACTTAACCACACTGGCCAGGGCAGAAATTGTCTTACTTTAAAGAAGAAGACAATAAGGGGCTGCTCGAGGGAATAGGTGGCATGGCTTACTCACAGCCAAAAGGCGCACAGGCTTGAGTCATACAAACCCTGTCAAGACCATTCTGTGTAACCCAAGGTCTGCCACTCAGGTTCTTTCTCACAGGAATTCATAACTGGGACTGAAAGGCTAGTAGGTCTAGCAGTAGAGCTGTTTGCTTAAATGGGAAAATGTGACCTCAGAAATGTATTACAGGACCAAGATGCTGAATTAATTGACTCCTAGCCCTGGTTCCTCTCCCCAAGATCAACCCCAGAGGAACACAGATGGCAAGTGGAAAAAAAAAAGTAAGAACCGCTTGGGTGACGGTTGGCAGAGGAACTGTGGGGATGGGGTGGGATGACTGTTTTAACAGAGACTATGTGGAAAGGGGTACTTTTGGCCTGGACCAGAAGACAGTCCATCATAGCTGCGGGAGAATAAACAGGAGTTTTGTTAGTTTGGCCCTTGCTGGTGCCTTGGGCATCAGGACCCACCCTCACACTGGGGGAGTGGGGAGAGTGGAAGAGGGTTCGTGCTACTGGTTCAGACGTCCTCAGGAGTAAAAAAGGACACTACAAAAGCCTGCGGGGACTGAGAAAGACATGTGGGAACCGACTGATCTCCTCCAGCCTTCACTTTCCACACAACCAGGTTAGGGGATGGCAATCTCAGGAATGTCTCCTACTAATACATGAGGGACAAAGAGGGAAGATCTCAGCCAAAGACTTGTTCTGGGAATGTGAAGTGTTTAATTCTCATTTTCAGGTGCCTAGGGATCTCTGCCCAGTCCATCTTCCTGAGATCCCTGTGTTGTAAGGACTGAATCTGGCCTTCCCCCATTCTCATTGCCTGATGGACTGGAATAGCTAATAGTTGCAGTAAAAAAATGCCCTCTGAGACAAAAATAACAAGAATTTGAGGAACATAACCATAAAACAACAGGTTATAGATTCAAACAGAAAAACAAATATTAGACCGATGGACCAAGAAAGATTTAAACCTGTAAAAGTGAGGAATATGATATATAACCAGTATGAAACAAGCACAAGAAAAGTTAAAGGAGCCAATCAAACTCAGCAAGCAAAATTATAATAGCTGAAATAACACAATAGGTGAGAACCACAAAAGATGAATATCAGAAGAGATGCATTTGAAGAAAAATTAGCTATCTGGCGTAAGGACAGAAAACAGGCCTCTCCTTTTCTTTGTTACGGTTTTTCCACAATGTATGAGAAGCACCTGGTAATTAAACCCCGAGATTGTTGGCTCTTCTGATTCAAACAGT